AAATAATTTTGACTATTTTCTTTATAGTTAGAAGGGTTAACTCTTAATCCTTCTAAATGGGAGTATTAATAAACCCCTCATTTTGAGGGGTTAACTCATTTTAATCCCTCTAGAGTGGTTGACTTAAACCCTTTTATATTTTTTATGGTTGACAAATTATGAAGGGTTAACTCACTTTAATCCTAGTATAGTTTTTTTTTTGGCAGGTTAAGAAGGGACTAAGTCTCCTTAACCCCCTCACTTAACTTGAGTTCGGGATAGAAATGAATATCGCAAAAGGTCAAGGTAGTGAACTAACAATGAGCTACCAACAACTTCAGACCATGACGCTTTCCTAAACAAAAGTTGCGCATACATTTGCACTTGAATGTGGAATTGTTCAAACGAAAAGGCTCTCCATTTCTCAGGATTTAAGAAAAAAAAAATATTTCTAACTTCGGACCATTAACCCTCCATAGTTTTTAGAAAGTATAAGAAAACCCCTCTTAAGTCAGGGGGTCATCTGAAACCTCTTTAAACTTTAAGATTTTATCCGAAAAATCTCGAAAAACACGAACCGCAATTTTACTAGCGAAAACATCCCCGCGTAATCATACGCGCTCATGTGAAAAATTGCGGTTATCGTTGCTGGGGGTGTTTCTAATAAAATGTTAATTTTAAAAGAGTGTTTTTCTGATAACCCCTAACATACGGGGCTCCTCATGATATTTCGAAATTTAAAAAAGTGTTAACTTATCTAGCGCCCCCCGGATTTTTTTTAAGTACAAGCAGAATGAGCAATGTCCTTTTCGTTTCCGAGTAAGCTATGATGGCGATCCTACAAACAAATTCAACTCCTTTGGTAGCCCTCACGTTGGCACAATTCTTGCTTTGCTTCATTGAAGTTTCTAATTAAAATGTGGCATGCTCTTTTTTTTTTTTTTCCTTAGTAGGTGTGAATCCTAAGTGCAAACGTGGGTTAGGTACATTTCTCTTTCTAAGTGGGATGAAAACGGCCTTAATCATACGGTCACAAGCGGATGCAGATTATCCGAATCCCGTCTGAATCCGAGATTTAAATCCATATACTAGTACTATATTATACTATACGGCCCCGTTTGGTAAATGGTTAAGGAAGAAGGGGTAAAGAGAATGATCAATGTACTTAGCCCATTCGATAATCTGAATGACTAAATTATTAACCCGTTAAATAAGTTTTATTTTACCCATTGTAATCAGTTTTAGTGTTTGAGAATAACAATGATTTTGACTATTTTTTTTATAATTAGAAAGGTTAACTCTTAATCCTTCAAAACACGAGTATTAATAAACCCCTCATTTTGAGGGGTTAACTCATTTTAATCCCTCTAGAGGGGTTAGCTTAACCATTCTACATTTTTTATGTTTGGCAAATTATGGAGGGTTAAGTCACTTTAACCATTGTATAGACTTCTTGTGTTTGGCGGGTTAAGAAAGGGTTAAGGGGCCGTTTGGTTGGTTTCCTAAAAACCAAGAAAAGGAAATTGGTACAAGGAAACCAATAAAATAATATTTTTATTCATTTTTATCCCTAAAACTCACCCACAACATCCAATAAAATAATATTTTTATCCCCCAACTCATCTCATTTCTTACCTTTAAAAATAGGAAAAAGATTTTTGGCTCGCGCTTTAACGCGCGAGCATCTCATTTCATCTCATTTCTTACTGTTAAAAAAAAATCAAACACAAGAAATGTGTCACATCATCCAACTCATCACATCTCATCTTATCTCATTTTTAAAAATCACACACATCATCCAATAATATTGTGACAACTCATCTCATCTCATTAAACCTTCATTTCCATCCATTTCCTCAAAAAAAAATTGATTTCCTTAAGTATGTGTCACATCATCCAATAATATACCTTCATCTCATCTCATCTCATCTATTTTCTTATTTTTAAAAATGAACCAAACACGAACAATCTCAAAACATCATCCAATAATATACCTCCAATTCATTTCCTTATTTTTTTAACCAACCAAACAACGTCAAAACAAGTTTTTTTAAAAAATCACTCACATCATCCAATAATAAGCTGACAACTCATCTCATCTCATCTCATATTCTATAGTTTTCTTCTTTTTTAATCCAAACAAACAACCTCAAAACAATTATTATAGGAAATAGGTTTCCTATTCTTTGATTTCTCAATTTTTTTTACGAAACGAACAGCCCTTAAGTCTACTTAACCCTTTGACAAACAGTGCCTTAAAAGGTTTTCAATTAATCCTAGCCAATATCAAATGGGTATGGTCTGAATTTATCAACTTGGAGCCGTTCGATATTTACTAAAGTTGATAAAAACTATAGATCCGAAACTAATTTTAGGTCCACGCTCTTTTCAAGTCAGCGGTTGGTCAAAAGAAGTATGAAGTTTGGTCGAGGAGTGGATCAGTTTCCTTGACTCTTTTTTTTTTTTTAGAAAAATCAGTTTCCTTGACTTAACTCTTCGTCCGATTACTTACGAAACTAATCTTGGTTTTAATTATTGCTCCATTAATCGGGTCATCTTAAGTTTGTTAAACGCCATCATAGACTTTTCTTTTCAAGTTTTGATTGGCTACAGAGGCAGAGTGAATTTGCCTAACACGTTATGGTGTGAGGACTCAAATTCAAGATGAAGCTTCTCCAAGAGTGATCTTAGGTTTTTCCTATATTTGAGGAGCAAATCTCTCATCTTAAGAAATAGGGAGCCAAATAAGGAGTAAGTGCTTCAATAATGCTATCCAAATGGCTCCCTATATCATGTCCTAGACTAAATATAGGGAGTAGGAAGAGGGAAAAGTTGCTCCAACAATGCTCTCTATGTTGAGACTAAATATAGGGACACACTTTGTTATCATTGATTTGGAAGACCAAATTCTATTCCCTGTATTTAGTCTCCAACATAGGAAGTTTGTTGGAGCANNNNCCCCCCCCCCCCCCCTCCTACTCCCTATATATAGTTTAGGACATGAAATAGAGAGGCTGTTGGAGATGCTCTAGAGTCTCATAATCAAGTTTCTTCCCATCGTTTAAAAAAATGAAAAATTTACAAAATAGTCTGTTTTTGCTAATTATTTAGCAAAATAGATCGTTTTGCTAAATAATTAGCAAAATAGACCTTTTTTTGCCAACATGCCAAAAAAGGTCTATTTTGCAAAACAGCTCGGAAAACATACGGGACTAGTAGTCCCGTATGTTTTAATCACGGATTAGTGAACTCAGAAAATTTTACAAAGGAAAACATACGGGACTAGTAGTCCCGTATGTTTTAATCACGGATTAGTGAACTCAGAAAATTTTACAAAACATTGAGATGAACTCAGAAAACATACGTTAATCACGGATTAGTGAACTCAGAAAATTTTACAAAACATTGAGATGAACTCAGAAAACATACGGGACTTTTCTGAGTCACTAATCCGTGACTAAGTTGATTCTAAACATACGGGACTAGTAGTCCCGTATGTTTTTTGAGTATTGTTTTTCAAAAGCGACCTCTTTTTTTCAAAAAGGTCTATTTTGCTAATTATTTAGCAAAACGGTCTATTTTGCTAAATAATTAGCAAAAACAGACTTTTTTTACAAATTTTTCCTTAAAAAAAAAAGAAAAGAGAAGGGGGTAAAAGAAAAAAGAAAATCTCACACATTAGCGATGTATCGCTAAAGGAAAAATAGCCTGTCATAAATACACAAGAGACACGGCTTCAAGTACATCTTTCGTATAAAAGACCATTCGCATATAATAAATGGATATATATATTTCGTGGATTGGTGGAATATTAGTTTGAATGCTGTAGCCGGGGGTGTTAGTCAATTGGGACATTTTCATGTAAAATTGGATAATTGTTAAAGTGGAATAATATTTCGCTAGTGGGATATTTTAGTGGGATAACTAGGAACAATTTTGTGAAGCATGATATTTTGATAAAATAATGTGGGATAAATTTTTATAATCATGAAGTATATATTTATGCATTTTGAAGATATAAATACTATTTATGTATTTTAAACTTACTATTATTAATTGATAATTGCTTACAAGAATGTTCGTTACTATTAAATAACTTTTGGTTAGACTATAAGATATTGATAATTATTATTATGATGATGGTCTAATGATGGTGATAACCATAATAGGAAATAAGTAAAGAAAAAAATAAAAAATAACAAAATAAATACGAGTTCTAGTTTTTTACCACATAGTTCCAAGCTAAAACTTGGAATAATTTGAGAGACTAGAACTCTCATTTTTGTATAGAAAAATAAAAAAAGTGGGATAATTTTGTACAATCATCCCAATTCTAGTTTTGTTAAAGTTCTGCTTGACTAACACTGTAAAATTTTATTCTAGTTTTAGTTCTATGTGACTAACACCTTAAAATTTTATTCTAGGTTTAGTTCTATGTGACTAACACCTTAAAATTTTATCCCACAGATTATCCTAGTTCTAATTTTAAGTTCTAGGTGACTAACCCATAGTAGAATAGAATATTCTACACCACTTGGACAATAATTACCCCGTGGTGGCGGTGGTGATCTGGAAACTGACACGTGGCGGTCGCTAGGAGTTGGTGAGCTGGGTCCAGTTCGCGGGTGGGTGGCCCAACTCATTCCGAGGGTTGGTGGGCTGATAGATGCTCCGGACTAGGAAGTATAACCATCTTCCAACTTTGGACAACCACGACGAAACCCGCCTTAACTTTCATAAATGTCAGAAAACCCCCCTTACATTTAGGGGTCATCAGAAAACCCCTTCCACTTTTGAGATTTTATCGGAGACCCCCTCCATTAGGGGTGAGTTCTCATATAAAATATCAAAGTTAAAAGAGGGGTTTCCCAATGAAGCGTTTCATGATTATCCCTTTACTTAAAGGAGGGATTTTCTCATATTTTGAAAGTTAAAAGAGGTTTTCCGATAATCATCTAAAGTTAAGGGGAGGTTTTATGCCATGCCATTATAAGAATCAATTTACGCAGCTGCTCTTATAAGAATCAATTTATTCCTTAATATTCAACTACAGATACGCTGGTTGTATAATGCATCCTGTAAACAATAGTACTATATACATGAATTAAAAGTCCACATAAAGACAGTATTTACAAACATTAAACAAAAAAAAAAAAAAAAAAACAAGCTAAAAGCTGAAGTCCATCAGAACAAGATAAAAGTTCAAACAGGGTTACTAGATACAATTCAGTAGAATCTACTGAGCATCCAATTCATAAACCTGCGACGTTGCTCCTCATCCAGCATAACGAAATAATCCTTCAAATCTTGGTTGATGTTGTTATCACCAAGTATTTTCCACTTCTCAACGTTTCTGAACCCGGGCATGTTCGTCACTGCTTCAACCCAGGGTAGATTCCCACATCTTTTCATTCTCAGTTCCATCACCAGTTCTTTAAGGTTCTTATTCACGTCCTGAAGCTGATTAGCTATCTCGCGTAACATAATATCGTGTGATGTAGTCGAGGGGATAATTGGTCGTCCATCGCCGTTGGTCACTGATGGAATAGATTCAGTTGGACTAGGTCGGGGTGATTCGGTGCTAGTTGGAGATGATAAATCTTCATGTTTATCGGCGGAAACTCCAGGACCCCTAACCATGTCATCTCGAAGATCGCCTTCTTCCTTGCTATCTTCTGACCTTGCATCATCCACTCCTTGGGCACTCGATGCAACTGCTCGCCTACCCGATACTCCATCGTTACCCACAACCATTTTGTAATCTTCAAATTTCTCGAATACTTTGCCTTTCAGATGAGGTGTATTCGGATTGGCCTATCATGTTGAATGCACATTAGAGTAAAACAAACATTAAGAATAGAGAAATATTACAGCATACAAATTTGGGTTAATTGCGGACAGACACCCCCCCACCTCGAGACTTATACCCCTATAATTCTATTGTTGCGGATAGACCCTCTGAGTGACAATCTATTGTGATAGGGTC